TTTTGTGAATCAAACAATGACAAGTGGTTGGCACTCATGATTGCAGAAAGTAAATATATTTACTTTGGTTTTGACAAGATTTAATAGGTAGAATCCTTAGAGTGTGAATGAATGTTCATGAAAAGAACAATCTTAATAAATGTTATGTATTTACCAGTTTCAATACAGATTCAGAACAAGCCTTTCACCCACACCATCCTACACTATGTACTCAAGTTGCTTCTTGGCAGTGTCATTCATTCCTTTTGTCTATTCCTATCTCCTGAACTGGGGATGATTGGAGCAAAAGTACACTACTGCTACATAACACCTGTGGGTAGTCATTTGTTCTGTTATTCTCTTTCACTAGAAGCTTACAATACAAAGAAAAATGGTAGTTCCATGTACCAAAATAACATAAATGAAGACAGAGAACTTGATTCCCTCCAGATATTTGAAACTAAAATCCCTATCACACCAAGCTATCATGGTCACTGGTCATGGAAGTTACAGTCCCAACCATCTGGGTAGCACCAGCTTTCCTATCTGACATAAACTGCACTGTATTATTCATCTTATAAATCAAATACCTGCTTCCAAAAGACAGGTATGGGGTCAATGAATCATACATACAGACAGACATGTTTTCCATCCTTGGGTGATAGGTTCTCGAAACAAGAGAGACTGCAGAATATATATGAGCTGATTAATAGCAATTTCAGGATTCTCAATAGAAACTGGAGAATAAACTGGCCACGGTTTTATCATTTCAGCTAAGAATTGTCTGCAACAAGAAAGGCAACTGGTCAATAATATATAACATACAAACAGCCACTTAACTCTTTTGTAAATTATTGACATGCAAGCCAAACTACTTACTCCACTATAGATACCTTCACTTTTCTAGGTAACAGAATGTAAATATTAAAATGCAAATATTAAGATACCATGCATCAATGACATGAGCTTCCTGTATAGAAGCAAACATATCACCAGAAAGATTTGAAAGCGTGAATAGAAGTCAGACTTCTCTGCCCCTACATTCAATCTCAGAATGGCAGAAACTGAGCACAGAAGTATCTATTTACCATTCCGGTAATGTTAATCTAGGAGGACTTCCTGATATCATAGACAGCAATGACCTTTTCTTTACGCTAGAGTTCCAGATTTAAGCAAAAAATGTTCCTTCATTAAGTTTTTTAATTACTTTTCCATTAGAAAAATGGAAAGTGAAAAACTGGCTATTACAGGGGGAACTGCACTTGTCACAAAAAGCAGCAACAGCAGCTAGGAAATAAAGGCTCAATTCAAAAAAGATCAGTGCCTTTGATTACCATTCTCCCTTTCTCAGCTGAAAAGCTGTAGAGTAATCCTATATAACTTTGCACAATACCATGAGTCTCCCAGAGTGAAAGGACCATGGCAGAAAGTAGCTGGATCTAAGAAATGAATTCTTTGATTAAATTAACAGTTAAGTACTCCACCTACAACCATGGGCAGACAGCAATTTCTCTTTTAATTCCAAAGGTACATGATCCCTGGTGTCTTTAACTTATTCTGAAGTAAAACCTGCCAAGAAACCAGAGATGCTTCCAAGTGGATGGTTCCTAGTGCTAATAGTGAAAAGGTACTGCATATATGTCTTCTTTTGTTCCAAAACATATTTTTGTGAAGATATGTATTAAAAGAAATGCGGGAGGAAATGGTGAATTCATCACATATAAAATTAAATATATTAAGCGAGTCAATTTCATAATAAAAGACCTCATCCTCGAAGCTAAGCAGGGTTGGGCCTGGTTGAAATCTGGATGGGTGACTTAAATGTTGTGAACTGCCCAGAGAGCTTTGGCTACAGGTGGTACAGAAATGTAAAATAGTAATAATCAGAAAACAGGCTAGAGCAGTCATTAGTTTAAGAAAGAATACCTCACAGTTCAGCTTAAAACCTGTTTTCAGTTCTGGGATTTAACCTTGTAATATATGATATAGTAATAAAGAGATTTGAATGTGTGTATAACAGCGCTTCTTACCACAAGAAGCTCCCAAAGAACTGGAGTTGGAGATAACTGCATCTGAATCCGATAGCAAGGCTGCCAAGCATATATAAATCTCATTAACTCTAATTTTAGAAGGTAAAGAGTGACAGAATGCTTCCAGACAAAGAGTTCTGGGGACCAGTAATCAGTAGGCATTGTATAACTTACGTTTTTTTTTCTTTAACAGATTTTCTACAATAAGGGGAGGGGGACAGAAAGCAGAAGAAGTGAGAAAATATAGGAAGGTTATAAATGGAAGCCAACATCATCCAGACCTCTGTAAATATATGTGACTGAGGTAGGCTAAAAAACAAAACAAAACCACTAGGTATTGTTGTTGTTTTTAGAGTCTGATAAGCAGAGGTGCATTTATCCTGGAATGTTACAACAGTTGTTTTTTGTTAAAAAAAAGTCTGTACTTTTCAGATCTTCTAACATTTGTAGGAACCATTCAGAAGCAACAGAATTTGGGCAGAAAAAGCAATATTTAATTAAATAAGAAGCTGCTCCCTTGGGACATCCTCCAGAGACTCTGGACCTAGCAGCCTGAGCTTGTAGCTATTCTCAGCGTTAACAGGACCTTCTGCTGTTTCCAGGGACTAGATCTGTTTCCATGGACAGTATCCAATGTTAACCAGGCCCAGAAGGAGCCAACACTAGCTCAGTGATAAGCTAGCACTTCTTAAAGCAACCAGAAGTTAAGCTAAATGCTTGATTCCAGAATGAAGCAGGTCAGCAGAGTTTGCAGAAGAGAGTTCCACTGACCTGTCCCCATTCCAGAAACTATTGTTCCAGCTCATTTTTGGGATCGTTCTAGGAAGCACTCATTTCCTGCTGTGCTAGCAGTAGGTCCCTAATGATACACCATAATCAGCAAAAGTGCAGAGATAGTGTGAGATACTGCCACATATGTAAGATTAAAAATTGTTACATTAAAAGTTTCATCCCACCACTTGGCTCAAGGAACACCTATGAACACCAGCATTTTTATTTATGCGCTGGTGGAATAGTGACAAACAGTAGAGTTCTGTGTGGAAAGTTTCAATTAATAATTTTGGTTGCAATCCTGTATACTCTTACCTGGAATTAAGTCCTATTCAGTTGAATCTGACTCACATGAGTTTGCCAGAACTAAGCAGGACTGGCAAGGGCAGAACCTTTAGAAAGACATTCCATTCAAAGAGTCCCCATAAATTGATAATTTGATGGCACATAACAACAAAGATATGCATGTGACTGCACAGGCTGAACCTATATTTTGTATGCACTGAAGTTCTGAAACAGTCAAAAGTAAACTCATGTACAAAGCATGATTATAAAGCAATCTGGATAGAAAGATGGGCATAAAATTTGTTCCATATTGCAGAATGAGTTTAAAGCTATTTCTTGGATCGGAAAAGGCTGTGGACCACTGTTGCAAAAGTAAAAAAAAAATTAAAAGCTGAGCAAGTGTTTATGCTCCAAACTAGTATCTAAAGGCATTTAATAAGCAAATTGTATTGAACTAAAGCAAGCCTCATCAGCACCTTGATGGGAAAACCCCTCAAAACCCTATGTATGCTCCCTTGGGTTCCATGATAGAAAGACAGCACATAAATAAGGTATCCTATTCATAATGGAGATTTAAGAATCTAATTGTCAACAGTATACAATCGCACCAGGAAAGTCATAGACATAACTTACTTGATTAATAACACCAATCCAGTAGAGCTGGCAATATTTTGCGAGAGAGTACCAGCTTTATAATACACATTCATATGACAATTCAACACTAAGTTTGTACATTAAAGTACTGTAAGCCTCTACTATCCAGGCCCTTCCCTGATCAACTTTCAGAAAAAAACCCACTACTTATTGCAAAAAAATTTTTGAGCATTTGTTTTATTGTTTTCATACTTTAAAGCTTCACCTGCACATACCTATTTAAAACTTGGTGGAATTTACTTGCAAATTAAACATATGTAGTATCCAGCTACAACTCCCTTTTTCATCAGATATAGGGTGGAAGAGAGAGCCTTGGCTATTGGGCTCGACTATATAAACGAAATAAATAAATAAATAAAACAACAGGGGAATATTCCAGTGGTCTCTAATCAACCCTCCCAGGCCTTCCATAATTCCAGTAAAAACATCTTCTACTCTTAGAGGAAAGCCGTCTTATGCAGCATTTTTGAGCAAAAAGACTAGCAGGATGGAACAAAAAAGAAGGAGCGGAGGTGACAGTCTGCCGAGTCACAGTAGGTCATTCCAAAGCGAGAATGCCTTTTGGAATGCCTTCCTCCTCTCACGCTTCACTGAAGGAAAGGTAAACAATCCAAACGTAACTAATATCGTCTGCTCCATCGGATCGAGTCAGGGGCCGCCTTTGCAGGACTGCTTCCCAGAGCGCTTACGCCTCTGCCAATCCATTCACGCTGCTAACAGGGTTCAAGGCTCAACCCTCGAGCTGGCCCATCTCCCACGGCCTGCCTTCGCCTCGCCCCTCCCGACAGTTAAAGAGCCATGATAAGCATAAACAAGGGGACACCAGGCCAAGAGTGGGAAGGAGTGGAAACCAGAGAAAGAGAGACGAGCAGGCAGTCTCTGCCCTTCAAGCCTGTCTCTGAGCAAGGAGGGCAGCAGAGAAAAAAAGCCAGGGACAAATCGCGGCCCTTCTCCTATCCATTCAAGCAAGACACGCGGGGGGGGGGGGGTGCAGGGAGGGAATTGAAAAGGGAAACGAACAGCCATTTCCCAGCTCGACACCCCAAGGAGCTACAACTCGCCTCAGTCGTTTCTCTTGCCCGCCCCTCCCGCACCACCAGCCACGGTCCTTTCCCCAGGGAGTCTTGGTGAGCCCACCACCAGGAACAGACTGACCGAGACGGTGTCGAAGACGGCGGCAGCTACGCTGCCTTGTTTGTCAGTCAGTCAAGCTGGTTGGCTGTTTTCCATTCTCTCTCTCCCTCCCTCCCTCCCTCCCTCCCTCTCCCTGCCGGATCTTACCGTGGCTCGGAGGCCAACTACTCGGTAGTGGTGGTGATGGTGGTACCGCCGCCACCGCCTTCGCCGCCGCTGCCCCTGCCCCCTTGCTGTGGCGGAGGGTTGTCCCCCTCAGCCCTCGGCACTGCTCCCTATCGCCGCCGCCGCCGCCGCCACCGCCGCTTCTAATGCCGCCGCCGCCACAGCGCAGTAAAATGATGCCATCTCACAGCAGCATGAACGCTCTCTCCTCACAGGAGAGCTCGCTCCGTTCTCCCGCCTGCCACTAGTGGCGCGCGCCCTAACCGTCGGGATGGAGGGGGAGGGGGAGGGGGAGGGGGAGGAGGCTCCGGCGCGAGACAGCCCAACTAGACCGAAACGGGGCGGGGCGGAGAGTGAGAGGGAGCGCGCCCGCCCGCCCCCTCGCGCGCACGCGGTGCATGCAAATAATCGAGGAGATGAAACTTGTCAGAGCAAAGAGTAGCACTGTGATTTACTGCTCTCTGCACAAGCAGAGGTCCCGGACTGAACCACTGGCTCCGAAACACTAAGGGGTGAACAGTGTAAAAGAAAATGTAGATGGCATTAAAATGTGCAGTAAGCCAGGACTGGACCAACGGGAGAAGAACACGAGAGGGGGGAGCGTTACAATGAGCTCACCGGAAAAGCAGGGGAAGTCATAATTGTTTAGAGCTACCCAGGAGGGAGATATAGAAATGGATTATTATTACTGCCATCATTTTTTATACATAAACTACTAGGCTTAGCTGGCTGACGGGATAAGGTGGTGTATTAAACGATCCTCTGTACCGTATGTGTAGTAACCTCAGTGAACTTGTAGCATGCTAGCTGATCAAGCAAAGTGGTGGATCGTTTAAAGTTGGTGTCCTAGGCACACTTACCTTGGCGTAAGGCCAATGAACACAGTTGGACTGACTTTTGGGTAAACATGGATAGAGCTGCAAAGCAAGAATTGTTCAGAGAACGAGCATAGCCTGCTAACTGCGCAACTGTAAATTACTCTGGCCCAAATTTCTTTTCGCACCTCGAAGGAAACAGCAAACCTCAAAGCAAAAACATATATTAATGTATACAGTACCTAAGGCTAATTCTAACAGACCTATCTGGACATGTGCCCTTTTGAGGCTCTGATCATTCCAAATGTTATGGTAGGGATAACAACCTGCAGCCCTCTATTTTCGTGCATTAGGCGAAACCAAAAGGAAGAAAAGGGGGAACCAGAAAAAGTTGGAGTGATGGAAGGAAGTGGAAATGATGGGAGAGAATGCACATGGGATGACAGAAAGAGAGAAGAGGTGGCCCCATTCACTTTGGGCTTTGTTCTCTCCCACTGCGGACTCTATCCCTGCATGCTATGGGCAAGTAGGCCAGTGGGTCTTCCCCAGAACCTATTGCCTCCAAAGGAATGCAGCCCTTGACAACAGGATTTTCGACCTTTGTTTCACACGATAAACTGTGTGCTGCTATTGAATTTTACTATAAAGCTCTATGAAGCTTTCAGTCTTGAAGGACATGCAGAATATTCATTTGTCTAGACATTATGTTGTATTATAACATTTACAGGTGTATACCTATATTATGGTTATATCCTTTTTTAAGTAATAATGTGAAGCAGCTCTGACATGCACTAACATCCTAATAAACATCTTGCAGGTTGGGTTATCCATTGCCAAAGAATGCAAGAAAACACTGCAATGAGTCTTTGTACAAGGGCAATAGTCTAGTCACTGTTTGTCATATGTGCAGGTAGGCAGCATTTTCATGCAACGAAAGGGAAAATTTGGTGAATGATAGTGGATAGTCTTAAGAGTTTACATGAAGCCTAAGGAGCATAGAAAGGACTGGGCTGATGCATGGACATTTTGTTCAGGACTGTCTTTCATCTCAAGGGTCAGGAACCATTCCTGGGTGTCAGCCTTACCTAAGTTTGGGAAAACAAACTATGGAAAAGTCAACCTTTTTTGTTGTTTAGGCTGCCAGACTTCCATAGAATGATGAGTCTGAACTGATGAAAAATTCCTGGATGATTCTACCTACCAGTTTATTGGAAGTACACTTGAGTTGGCATTTCAGGATATGGTCCTGTGTGTTTGCCATATGCCCATTCTGTGAATATGATCAGTGATTATGAGAGCAGGGAAGAGCCAAACCCAAGCTTCCAATATATATGTCATGTTAACTGAAAACTGACTTTCAGCAGATTTTAGCTTTAATATGAAACCTAACTCTCTGCCATACTGGCATTCTTCGCAGGGCAACACACAGACACACATACATGCACATGCACACACGAGAGAGAGAGAGAGAGAGAGAGAGAGAGAGAGAGAGAGAGAGATGAATTAAGGGACTGTTATACATGGGAAAAGAATGATATATTCAGCTTGTATTTTGACTTTTTAAAGTTCCATGGTGTTGTGATTTGCAGGGACTACACAATGCAATATTTTGTCAGCAGGTTCAAGTTAGAATGCAATGTGCTGTTGGGACATCTCAATGTTGTGGGAAGTGTAAAGTCTGCATCTTAAAATATGAGTGAAGGATTGTTCTTTCTTAAGAAGTGTAGAATCTGTATCCTTTAGAATGAATAAAGGCCTGTTCTCATTGTCTCATCCTCCCCACAAGAGTTAAGAAACATTTTGGCGTCAAGTAAGAATTTTCAAGGCCACTTCGGCCTGTTGACCTCTTAGAAGGTACTGCGCATGTGTAATAAGTTTATGAATAGTAAATGACACACCTCCCATAGGTAATAGGCTCATTAGCATGAACATGGGATGTATGAGCGGGAGGGGGAACATATTAAGGAGTAGTATGATATAGGCAGATGGGGAAGATTGTGACTTCTTAGTAACCAGCCAATGGCGAAGTGGGGATAGTGTTGAGCATGTGGGGGGGGGGAGGAATGTATAAAATCTCTTGTAAACAGTAAAAGATTGCTCTTTGTTTCTCAGACTACTGAAGCATTGAGCCAGCCTTTGCAAACACTTTTTGCATGGAATAAACTGCTTGTACTCACTCGAATCCTGTCTCAAGGAGTTTTAAATCTCACAATTGGCGCCCAACGTGGGGCTCATGGCATCTTTCGGAGGAGGCAAGGAGGAACGATCCGGAGGCGCCCCGCCGAGTTCTGCGGCCAGTGGTGAGTCTGTCATCAGCTCCTCCGTTGACTGCCTGAGCTGAACAAAATAGGGACAAGGATCCAGGTGGCTACAAGTCAGAAACAGCGGTTAGGACCTAGGTTTGAAGAGTTTTCGACCAGGCAACTCTGTGTACAGGCCCAAGTGAGTTAATCGACATGCTGTGTGATTGGGTTGGTATTAGTCTCACTGGGTGGTCAAGAGGACAGTCCGGCCAGGTGCGGTAAAAGGCCACAGAGAGTCATAATGGTCCCACTGGTGCGGCGTCCTAAGTGTGAGTTAACCGACACACTGTGTGATTGGGTCAGGAGTAGTCTCACCAGGTAAACTGGAACTGCTGAATGATCAGTTCCTAAGCCAAGGAAAATAAAACCGCTGGTAAAAATGAGTAATAATTGTGTTGTAATAAGTGTGTGAGTGTGAGGTCCTGGAGTGTGAAAGAGAAGTCCAAACGGATGCGTGAGTGTGGAGGACCTAGTATGTGGTTCCGTGTCCCTGCGAGGGGAGCGGCCGAAACGGTACCGAGCAAACGGAGAGTGATTGCGGGACATAACTAATAGAAGACAGAGTAAGGAAGGATGGGTTCTAGAAATGCAAAGCCCACTAGAGAGATTAAATCCCAACAAGAAATACCAGTACACTCCCCATTAGGATTTTTATTAAAAGAGTGGGATAAACAATTGGACATTTTTTTTAAACAAGACTCAAATGATTAAGTACTGCAGAAAGGTCTGGCCAACCTATATCCTGCATGAACCAGATTATAAATGGAACAAGGATGGAAATCCCACCTTACAAAAAAACTTAGCCATGGCTTACTGGGGGAGGTTTTGCTGATTGGTCCTAAAGCATGAGAACAGCAAAATCATATTATGGCCCCTTTTGGGCAGGTACTTTGGCAATGGGAGGATTTGGGTTTGTGGAGTCCCCTCTGACTGCAGCAGAGGTGAAACCTTTTAGGCAGGAACTACAAGCTATTTTTGTTTGTCTGTCTGTCTGTTTGCTTGCATGCTTGCTTGTTTGCTTGTATTTTGTTTTCTGGTGAAGAATTGAGTTTGATCCAACAGGCAGCTAGAAATGTTTGGAATAGAGAAAATCTCAACAGAGCAGGAGATGCTCTGTGCTGTTTTCTAGAAGGGAGAGTTGGGAATTATTAGAGTATATGATCTAGGGAATCAAAGAAGCAGTGCCTCAGTCTCTTAATGTACATAAGACTTTGTTTCTGGAATAAAAGAAAGATGATACTCCAAATGAGTGGCTGGAGAGACTGAAGCAACAGATGAAAAAAATAAAAATTGGGCAACTGGATTCAGGAATCCAGCCCATCAGATAGATATTACTGAAGTGTCAGTTTGCAGGGAAGGCAGGGGAGGATATTAGGCAGAACAGAAGTTGCAGGTGTTAGATGGAAGAGAGGCAAGGACGTTGGAAGATTTGTTGAGAGAGGCACAGAAAGTGTATGCAAGGAGAGGGGATGAGGAAAAATGGACTCAAAGGTTGGAATGTAGTGGCAATAGAGGAAATGGGAGTAAGTCAGGTAGAGGATGAGGTCGAGAAAGAGGATTTCAGCCCGCACCTAAAAAGGAGCGAATGAGTGAGAATGAGTGAAGGATTAAGCGCAGGATGCTATCAATGTGGAAAAGCTGGGTACTTTAAATGAGAATGCCCTGAGCTGAGGGGAGGGGAGAGGTTGATTTCTTTCATGAATATGGACAAAGATTAGGAAGGTCAGGGGTCTCCTCATAGGAGGATCCACTGGGAACCTTTGATAAATTTGAAAGTGGAACAATATGGGAAAGACATGGTATTTATGGTAGGCTCTGGAGCTACCTGCTCCACAATGAATATGATTCCAAATGGAATGTATATGGGGAAAAGGGGAATTGATGTCTCAAGGAGTTTTAAATCTCACAATGTGTCTCAGCGTGGCTGCCTTTTCATTCTGCTCCAAGAAAATGCAATTGCCTCTTGCAGCATTCCTACTCTTTAAATCGACCTTGAAGTTCCAGAAAGGTTATATGCCAAACCATAAATCAACCCATATTTAATCTTTCTACAAATGTTTTTCATCCGAGCTGATTTGAAAACTAAAATTAAAAACCACAGCTGAGCAAGAGACT